CACAGAGGAATTCCAACTAGGATTTCAAGGGAAGCCTGACTCTCACTCTCCCATAGCCCCCAGCAGGCCAGTTCTGCAAAAAGATATTCCTATACTCAGTACTGATGCAGCATTTCTTTATGAGGATCTGCTTGTAATTGTCAAGGTCTGATGCCAATCTTTTTAACTGACAATTACTAATACTTTAAAGGAACTATTAAGCTGTGTAACTAAATTCCTATGGGGAAGAGTAATTCCAAATAAGCAGGATGGCCTTCTTCCTCAAGACTGGGTTCACATATGGATACGAGGAGTTTCTCTCTCTCTCTTTCAAAATATATGTATTGAATGTGTGTCGAGCATTGTTCTGCTTCTGAGGGTATACAAATAAGATTCAGTCACAGCCTTCAAGGGGCTCACAATCCTGATTTCACTCGTGCAAGAACAGAGACAAGTACTAGGTGCATCTGTGGGCAAAACTGAGGGAAACGGGGCTGATGAAAGCTTGATGTCAGGAAGTCTCCACAGTGATGGTGTTTTGAGTCTTTTAAAACACAATATGGATACTGAGAGAAGAATTATATCACCAGAAAGGAGACACTAAATACTTCCCAGATGCAAAACAACCTGGGACCTTGAGAAAAACCTAAGGATTCCAGCAAGGACCAGGAGTTTGAGAAACATTATGGGTCTTGTCAACAATTTACTGGGTACTTTAGGCTCTTCCCTCAAGTGTTCTTTAACTTCCGGGTGACTTCTAAATAGAAGATGAAAATATTATTATAAAGTCTGTTTAAATAAACCTACTATATGAAAAAGTTGTCTCTTCCCAGTTTGTTGAAATGAGAGAGTCATAATATTTATTTCATCAAAGGGGTGTGAAGCTTAGTTGGGATTAATTTCCTTCATGACTCCTTCCAGGATACTAAAAAATTTATATAATCCCATATGTGGTTTGTAGGAACGGATTTCACGACGACTTGATGAAAAATAGTATGAATATTTCACCAAGTTTTTTCATCATTCTTTCAAATATAACGGCCCTCGCTCCTGCTTTTCCAGCCCCCCATGACGGCACGCCTGGTCACCACCAGCGCCTTCTGAAGGAAGGCCTCAGACAGTCCGTTGTGTGTGTTGCTGCCTCACCAAACACCTCAGAGCCTTCCTTTGCGGAGGGGCCCACCCTCTCCTCCACGCTCACTAGACCTATCATGCGCATGCAGCCTGTACCATTTACACATTCACCTCTTTCCCCAGGTGATTGTGAACATCTTCAGGGCATCAACTTACCCATAGTTTGAATCACTGGCATCTTACATGGTGACTAGCAGAGAAGAGGTGAGCAAATCAAGCCTTGTCAAATGACTGAGGGCACGAACCCTCTGCTCTCATGACAAGGCCAAAACCGACCCATGTCTTCTGAACATGGAACCTGCCCTCCCGTTTGTCTTCTTTTCCTGTTCCTCCTTACCCTGAGCTTTCCCTTTACTTTCTCCCTCAGGAATATCCATTTATCTATTTAGGGCAGGAGTTTTCAGTCTTGGCTGCACAGTAGAATCACTTGGGGGACCCTTTACAAGTAAACACCAGTGCCCGGCCCACCGACGCAGATTCTGATTTAATCGGTTGGGGTGGGGCTCTGGTGTTGGTATTTTGTAAATGCTCCTGTGATGAGTCTAAAATGCAGCCAGGCTTGAGAAACACTGATTTAAAGTGATAACTCACCTCCCGTCTTTTAAAAAGACTAATGTGGCTCCGGTGAGTTTACCTTGTCTGGTTTCAAAGCAGGTACCGTCTCAACCACTTATTAGGTAACAAATCAAACACTGCCTTATGACAGCGCTTCACTATTGGTTTGTTCTTTGACTCCTGCACTTCATTTTGATGATTTATGAGTGTATACACACATGGACCATCTCTCACGCTAGACTAGAAGAACCTCGAAGGCAGGAACTGTGTCTTCTACTTCTTTGCATCCCCAAGCCATGCACATGGTGGACAGAAAATGTATTTTTGATTATGAAAAGAAAAAAATCCAAAATACTAAAAGAGAAAAAAAAAACCCTAGTAGAGGCCATTTTAATTCCACTTTAAGGACATGCCTTTGGTAAGAATAAAAATGTTGCAAAAAGGGTGGGGCAGGGTAGAAGCAGACTAGAAAAAAAGTAAATAAAAGTCAAATGGAAAAAAAACTAAATTAGTCCAAAAGAAAATGTTTCCCAGCTTCTTAAGAGGGTTTTTGCAAACACTGAAGCAGAATAAACAACAGAATTAACTTGGCTTGTGCCCTGATAAGGAGATTTCTTTCTCGGTTATATAATTTTACAAAGTTTCCAGGGTGTGAAGAAAATAATCAGCCAGGGAGGACTCCTTCCCTTGGACTATACAATTCAGCTCTTGGTTTAATCGGCTCGCAGAGCTGCTCAGCTTGACCTGACCTCCTTCCAGCCCTGTGATCTCAGACTAAGCCTCACATTCAAGAGCCCTGGCATAGAGCTCAATGTCATAGAAACGGGATAAAACATAATCCTCATTCCATGTCCTTGATCCCTTGGTGGCCTCTGTGCTTTGGTGGGGGTGGGGAGAGCTATACCTGGTATGTTCTCCTGGTGGTTCGTGTTCCAGAGATCTGCTGATGCTGGAATGATCTAGGCATGTTCTCTTACCAAGTAGTGTTATAAGGAAGTATTGCTTGGAACAACTACCTTAAAAACTAGCTTAAAGTACTGTTTTGTGCACATATCCCAGAAAAGGTTTATCTTCATATGGCTTCTCTACTTTGTCATGAAGTTAAGACCACAGGAAAGGCTCAGTGAATCACGATGCACATCTTCTGCTAAAGCGAGGTAAGTTCATCAGATGGAGACATGTTTTCTACATCAAATTTTATCCTAGTTATTAGGCCACAAATTGAAGGACTGGTCCCAAAAGGCATGCACATTTCTATAGATTAATTAAGTGTACGTTCTTTTACCTGGGTTGGCCATTTTAACACTGGTCATATTTTACTTTGCTATAGCATTTTATTATACTTTACTATTTTATTTACATATTTTACTAATTAGTGTTTGAAAACATGATTCAAAAGCATTTAACTCTGCTCTTGATTGATTAGCAATGATAGTTAACATGTTGTCATTTGTAGATTAAGATAACACCACTGACTCATTTGATAGGATATGAGTTGATAAACTGTCACTGATCTATCCATGCTGTGCTCTTCGTTCTTCTTGTGACTCGTGGCCTGTGTTTGACCTTATGAGCCAAAACCAAGAGCCTCCAAAATCCTGCAGTTACCAAAGAGACATAAAATAATAGCATTTGTCCTATCGACTACTTCCTACTGACATCGAAAAAATGGAAATGACCGGCTTATTAAAACAAAAGAAAAAGAAAAATATGGCTCTAACTTCTTTGTATACTAACAAATGCTAGCTAGAATTGGTTAAACAAGGATCTGGGAGTCTGGAGTCCATGCTACCATATGTAACAGACTACATCACAAAATCAGTATGTGCTATCTAAAACCTAAAACAGAGATAAACTACACATTTTTAAGGAATGGGGTTAAAGATCCATGAAAATGAATGGATCAACACTGATTCACAAGGAATTTTGCTTCTTCAAATAGTAGTGCCTGAGAGCTGCAAACTGGGTTTATTTAACATAATTTATAACCTAGGGTACAAACCAAAGGTCATTAGGTTCTACAGGAATATCTCTGGCTATGTTCCACTGAAAAGAGAAGTATGGATTCAGAACCCAGTATACCTGAATCATTGGGGAAAAGGTATCACTGAGGTAATGAGCACGCCAGGGCCTGAAAACTTAAGAATGTTCACCTAAACGAAAACAAGCAGCTCCATCTTCTCAGAACATGGCTGACTCAATCATCAAGATGGAATGTTATTTACACAGTCCCAAGCAAACCAGGAAGAATCCTCTGGTCTGTAACCAAGGGCACTCGGAAAGTTATGTCTGGAACAGGCAAAGGCTCATGTCTGTTTCTGATGATTCCTGACTCCTTGAAAGACAGCCAACTTACCTAATGCAGGTAAAGGGCAACAACTCCTTGCCACCTCCCCCAGAAAGGACCACCAGCATGATATTTCATGCCTCTTTAGTGAATAACTTGGACTGTAATATATTTAGCAAGATGGGCAAATCTGGATTCTGAATTCTGCCCCATCCAACAAATCAGAACAATCACCCTATCTTCTTCCTCCTCCTGCTTGTGGGAGAGGTCATGATGGAACCTGGTCCACACAACAGAATAAAGTTGAGGTTACGCATCAGGAAAAATAATTCCCTAATTATGAAACATTTTACCAAAGGGGTCAGACTGTGGTGTCCCTTTCTTTAGAGTGAAAGAAAGGGTATAGAAACTTAAACTTTCTGGATGGAAGGGGTGGGGGAGTTCTCATTTGAGGCCAGGATAGAAACCATCAATAGGGAGTTCTGGGAGAGCTATCATCCTTTTGAGGGGGGGGGGGGTCTCTCTAGCACCTTTTGGTACTTGAACCTACTGGCTTAGTAGTTAATGCACAAGTACCCAGGGTCTGGGGAACAGTTTAATCACATGGCAGGATCTGTCTGGCCTATGGTTTTCAAAACATACTAACCTCAAGAAAAAGCACCATCACTATTTAATTTGTACACAAATTATCTAGTCCTCAACAAATACCAGCTAAGTGAAATGATCATTCACCCTTTAGAGATGGAGAGTTTGAGATCCTTAGAGGGTGGACCTCGGTCACTTCCAAGCCATTGGCAAATATCAGGAGGCATGCTACCTCTATGGGCTCTCATCTTACACATTTTTTCCTGTGAGCGACTGATTTCCCACTTCATTACAATTGTTGTTGGGGCGGGTAGGGATGCTGGTTTCTTTAGCTGCCCCCTGACAGTGTTGGCCTAGGATAGACAATGTGGCTGATGCTTTCAGAAGATGAACACTCAGATTGCTAAGTACATCCTGTTCTCTAAACTGGACAGTTCGAAAACACTGTCAAAGCACTCACCTGTCTTCTCTCTGAACCAAGGCACTGGAGAGTCAGTCGGGTGTTCACACTGTGACTCCAGGTGGTTCCCAGGGCAGCTGTCACACAGCTGGAGCCAGAAGTGCCTGAAATGAAACAGGGCAAAACCATGATTATGAGTGCCCATTTCTTGTAATGGTGTTTCACATAAACAACAGTCCAGTTGTTGCTCATTGCTTAGAGACTCCTGGGGGACTCAGTTCACTACCACAAAAGTTGCCAAATTAGAAAAGGAGAGGGGTTAAGGAACATGAGACTAAAAATAAAAACCAGCAGGGTTTTTATTTTATAAACTGAAGAAATAAAATAAATTTTATTTTATAAACTGAAGAGTTTCCTTCAGCCTCAGTGAAAGCACCACCACTGGGCTAAAAGATAACAGAGTTATATATCAATAAGAGGTTGCATGCTAGGCAGCTTGGAGCCATTGCTAATAATAAACTGAGCCACTCAATATCCATGGCAGAAAGGCATAATGCTACTGCATAGAATAAGAGCCAGGTATGAAACAGTCTTAGTTTAACAGAGCTGTAAGACTTGTTTAACTTGATAAGAGTCTTAACTCAGTTTTCCTAATCAATATGGAAATGGTGGCATATGCATATAAAATTCTTTTGCCCTTCCAACCCCTGCACACATGCAAACACAAACCCAGAAAAGGAATCCGGAAGATCTAACCATTTCATATCTAATCTGTATTAGACAGTCTTATCCCCAGAGAAACATTCCTTCACCTTCTAAGACTTTCCATAAGGGGGAGGATGTGAAAGATCCATCTGAGTTTCCAGTCTACTCCAAGTTGTGCTTCAGCTACTACCTTACATCTCCAGAGCTCCACTGATCCCTATTGACATCACCAGGAGGAAACTATTCCTGCGTTCCTCCTCTTCCTCCTCCTTAGAGGCAGGCTTACAAGTCCCACCACTTAGAAGCCTGTCCACACCCCCCCACCTCATATCTGGGACACCTTGAGGTCTCCCCTGAATTCCTATGCGCACTTTGGCTCGGGGACATGAGAGGAATCCTAGCCCTAGGGAGCACAGTGGGACATTCATTATGCCTTGTATCCTCAAGATGCCATCTCTTTGCAATGAGGAGACTAAGTACAGAGAGGCTGAAGTCCACCGAATTAGCTAAAACAACATGAGGCCTTGAGCTCCTCATTCATTGTCTGCTTACTGCATCATCAGATTTTCACCCCTCAGTCTGGAGTATTGGTCTTTTTTCCTTTTCTTTCTTTTCTGGACCTGTCATCTTTCAGGGTGATCTACCAACTTTGCATGGCCTTACACTCCTGGGCCCAAATATTACAGCAGATGAATGTGGGTCAGTGCGTCTAGGCTGGAGGTGATTTCTTTGGCAATGTCTAAGTGGGAGTGCCACTGGCATTTAGAGGTTAGAGGCCGGTGATGCTGCTAAACACCCTGTAATGCACAGGACAGGCCCCCATAACAAAGAATTATCCAGCCCCAAAAACGAGAGTGCTGAGGTTGAATGCCCCTGGGTTAGACAACACCAACCATACATTTTCTCTGGTTCAAGCAGGTACAGGAATGAATTAGATGGAAATCAACAACTGGGACCACAACATGCCTGGGGATTTCCAAATGAAGAAGAATTTAGCATAGGAAGGAATAAAATTTAGTGCATCATGCACATCATTCAGAACACACACAAATTAATTTGAGAACAAATTATCTAGACCGTGCTCATCTAATCACATCATTCCCTTACTCAAACTCCTCCAGCAGCCCTCCATGCTGAGGAGAAATACTAACTCCTGAACAATGCACCTGGGGCACTTCATCATCTGCTCCCGAGTCTCTCTCTGGCCCCACTGCTCTAAGCTTTCTCGCTGGATGGTCTCCTGTAACCTCCTGACTTCCCTGTCCCCATCCTCCTTGGCCTCTTGTCAGCAGCTGATAAAGCTTCCCCCTCTTTTGGCATCCAATATGCTGCTTCTTCTGCTTCTTCTGGATCCCAATGAGTATTCTTTTCCTTCTCTGCTTTTCTTCTCCCTCTCTTCCTAGTTGTGGGTGGACCTCAGGGGGCTGACTGTGACTGATTTTTCTCCTACCACCCAAGTGCCTTCAGTGGCTAGGAAGATAATGTGCATTAGTAAAGAGGCCAGGTGTTTGCATCTTAAAATGCAGGAATCCTTTATTACTGCAAAGAGATACACTTTCTTCCATTCTTCTTAAAATATACAACCCTCTTATCTTCCATTTTCCCCTTTTTGATAGAGACATATTAATAAAGAAATATTTTCTGTTATAAGAAAACCAACCCTGGAAAGGCAATGGCAACTGATTTTTCTTTTCTATTTTTTTCTTTATTGCATTTTTATAAAACAGCTTTTTTGAGATAATTCACACATCATACAATCCACCCAAAGTGTACAGTTCAATGGTTTTTACTATATTCAGAGTTGTTCAAGCATCACCACAATCATCACCTCAAAAAGAAACCCCATGCCCTTAGCCATATGAGCCTCAAGCCCCTCTTTCCTGCCCCCCAGGCCTAGGCCACCAATCCTCTGCTTTGTGTTTAATACGAAGTATTAGGAGATGACGGGGAGCAGTGGCGACTGTGGTGAATGAGAGGATCCAGCCATGATTGCAAGAGGGCAGACCCTGGCTGCTCCAGCTATTGCTGTCATGTGACACTGAGAGTTCATAGTCAGCCACATCTTTTGACTTTTAAAAGAGAAGCCAGAAGTCGATGTTTTAAGTACAATCTCCTGGTTTTAACACGTTGGCTTAATTTAACAATTTTTGAAAACACACAAATGAACGTACTTAGGAGCCATATATCACTTATTCCCACCAAGCTTGCAACCTGTGCTCCATATGGCATGGCCTCACTGTTGACAAGGACGACACCCCCACGTGGATGATTTTGAAGCCTTTGTGTCAACGTATGACCAGCCTTAGCACCTGTTCTCCATTACCAACAACAAGAACTACAAGCCGGACCTAATGAATTTCAGCACCGTAAACTGAATATCTTCAAATCAAGCTTACGTCTTCCCATATAACTCACCTTTCTTTCTTTGTTCCTTTCTTTGGACTTCTAGTTAATCTGGTTCGTTCCATTTTTAAATTTCTCCTTCTCTCATGCTTCTCGGTTCCAACAAATTGAGACGTTCTATTGATTGAACTGTAAAATCTCACCTATATCCATTCTTTACCCTCCTTTCCTCCTACCCCAACCTTAGATCAGACCCCCATTAGCTTTCACCTGGGGATGGCTGCTAGAGCTTTCTACCTGATGTCCATGTTGCTGTCAGTTCCTCCTCACTAAAGCCCATTCTCTCTTCTTCTGCCTGATTAACCTCTCCAGGCACACACCTAGGCACACTCCCTGCCACTTCTGATCAAGCATGCTCGAAAACTTTTAATGGCTCCGAAGTGTGTCCAAAGAGCTCTAAATTGCTCAGATTGGTATTCAAAGCTCTTCTAGTCTGTGCCCAACCCGCCTTTCCACACAGCTCCCTCCATTCCACCTCACAGAGACTTTGCTCCAATGTAATCACTTCTTCCCCATGTCCCTTCCACACCTGAAATGCCTCTAGGTCCCCACGTTGTCTTCGGTACCACTTCCTGCACTCCACTTTCTTGGTCATCACACACATACAGTCTTCCTCCTCTAAATTCCCATAAAACTTTATTTCCCTTTCTCATGTTTCACCATTTTCTCTCCTGTTGTATATTCCTTGTGTGTGCTTTTCTTATCAACCCTAATACATATTTTAAGAGGGCCAAATCCATGTCTGATTTATGCTAGTCTGCCTGAATCACTTAACTCAATCGTTCTGTGTCACTGCCACACAGAAGATACTTAATAAATCCTGATTAAATAGTTAATAAGTTATTCCTACTTAACTTTGAACCATGTTATATATATTTGTTCTAGCAACAGATTTACAGTCTTAATTAATAGCATTTTCACATTTTTCAAACAAACTTATTAGAAGCTTGTTGCTTCTAACAAGATGCCTGCTAAGTGATAGGATGAAGTAAGGCTGAGCTTTCAAGTTTGCCATGAAAAAGTTATGTGTGACTAATCAGGAGTTAGTTAAGCAGTCAAAAAAAAAAAATATATATATATATATTTTGATAATAAAATTATAGGCATTTCCCAGGTCTGGAAGATGTTTTCAGGAGTCAGAGCCATATGGGGCCAGGGGTGACTATTTAAAGACTGCCACGTCCCTAAACCAACGAAAACAGTCTAACAAAGTACCCCATATATCTGGCTGCTTTCTGGACAGGCAAGCTCAGGTCCTGACAAAAGGCATGAGTGCAAATAACTACGGAAAAGTTTCTAATGGAAACCCTGAGTGAGTGGCTTGAGGAGATCTATTTTCAGGAGTGCTTACAAACATTACGCCACCACAGGAGCAGTTAACAGAGGACCTTGAAAGCTAATGATAAGAAAAGACAATATTTTTAAAGTACTACAAGTGAGGCACTAGGTGACCCCTTTATATAGAGGGCTTACGTCTTGTTTGAGCTTCATATCTTAGTTACATCTTTTTTTGATCCTCACAGCCACCCTCGGAGGTGGGGAATATCATCGTCCCTATTGACAAACTAAGGCTGTGAGAGATTAAGTCACTCTCCCAAGGTCACATGGTTGGTTAATGACAGGGCCGGGACTCAAACCGGGCAACTGTCTTCACCACTACTCCAGTCGGCCTTCTCCAGGCTCCTTATGTCAAACAGCCCACAACTGTGTCAGCCCAGGGGGGCCTCAGGAAGGGCCTGAAGGGCCTGAAGAGCCTGAAGGCCCACCTCTGAAAGGACACTGATGGAGACGATTGCGAGCATCTCATCACTCATCTGAATCTGTGTGTCACTCTGGCCCCACAACCAGCTTCCTCCGTTCTGATACACAGTGACAACTCAGGGCAAGGCGTTTCCAGAAAGACAATGCATGCCCTGGCTTGGAAGTTATTTAACCTCACGCAACTGACCCAGCAGCTGATTCATGTAAATCAGGTGGCCCAAAACTGACCCTCTCTGGTTGAAGGCCTGAAAATCTGGTCAGAATGGAAAAGTTATTTCACTTAATAGGAACCTGA